GCAGTGTTCACCCTCTGTTCTCGTCCTTCTTTACTCTCTTCTCCACATAGTGCCAGAGTAATCAGTTTAATGCATTAAATAAATGATGTCACTCTCCTACTACAAACCTCTAACAACAGTTCTTGCCACACTTAACAAAAGGTCAGGTGTTGCAAGGCTCTGTGTCTTCTGACCCTGGCCAGTAAGCGATTTCCCCAATTTATGTCACTTGGTTCACCTGGGTCTCTGCTGCTGCTGCTTGTTTGTTGGTTGTTTTCAGTTTTGTTTTTTGCTGTTCCCTTGCCCTGTATTACTCAAATCCAGGTTTCTGATCAAAAATCCACTCCTCAGAGCAGACTTGCCGGCTCACCCATTGCAACTGTCCAAGATAGCTCTTCCTCTACGTCTTGTCTCAAGTATTATCTTTAGTTTTACGGTGATGTGTTTAAACATAGCTTTCTTTCCATTTATCCTTTTGGGATTCATTGGACTTTTAAAATCCATTAATTGGTGCCTTTTATTGATTTTGAAAACTTTTCAACCATTATCTTTTCAAACTGACTTGACTCTATCTCCTCTCTTCCCCTCTTTTGGAACTGTGGTCTAATTTATCCACCTTATCTTTTATTGGATAATCCTTTCTGGCTTTTGTTTAATAACAGGTGTGCCATATTGTTGCTAGAATGTAGAAGTGCAAAGATATGTTCTGTATTGATGGGTCCAAAAGCTTTGCTCAGGTTACTGGCTCTTTATGATATTATTTTTCTATTATTCCTTTGGATTTTTAATATATACAGTAATGCCATCTGCAAATAATGACAGTTGTATATCTTATTTTCCAGTTTTAATAATTGTGTGTCTTTTTCTTACCTTATTGTACTAACTAGAGCATACAGTGCAGTGTTGAGAGATTGGTGACAGTTAATCTCTGTCTTGGTCCCCATCTCCCCATCTCAGGTGGTAAATGTTAAATATTTTTGAACTTTTTTTTTTTTTTGAGACAGAGTCTCACTATGTCACCCTCGGGAGAGTGCTGTGACGTCACAGCTCACAGCAACCTCAAACTCTTGGACTTAAGTGGTTCTCTTACCTAAGCCTCCCACGTAGCTGGGACTACAGGTGCCCACTGCAATTCCCTGCTATTTTTGTTGTTGTTGTTGTCATTGTTGTTTTAGCTGGCCCGGGCTAGGTTTGAACATGCCAGCCTCGGTGTATGTGGCTGGTGCCCTAGCCACTGAGCTATGGGCGCTGAGCCTGTTTTTGAACTTTTAATCAACTTTTCATTCCTGGAATATACCCAGTTTGCTCATGATTTCAAATCCGTTTAGACCACATTTATCTTGATTTTTTTGTTTTGTTTTGTATCTTTATGCATTAGAAAGTGGCTGTGATTTCACAATTTTATCTGTGTTTGGTGTCAACTTTATTACTGCTTACTGTGCATTTGGAATTGTTTTTTCTCATCCTGTTTTCTGGAGCAGTTTTTATAACACTAGTATAATAAACATTGCAAGATTTCATCTGGAGTTTGTATTTTGGAGGATTTATAACTACAGGTTTAGTTTCTTCAGTAGATTTAGAACTATGCAAATGATCTATTTCTTACATCAGTTTTATTTTCTTCCCTGGGAACTTGCTGTTTTTACTAAATTTTCAGATGTATCAGCCTAAAGCTGTGCATAATGTACTCTTATTTTTGTAATTAAGAGATCTGTAGTGATGTGTCCTCTTTCAGTCCTGATATTGGTGACACAAGTCATCCCTTTTCTCACTTTCGTCATTCTTGTCAAGAGTTTATCAAGTTTCTTAATCTTTTTAAAAACCATACTTTTAAGTTTTACTGATTATTTCTTTTCTATATGTGTTTTCTATTTAATTTCTGCTCAAACAAGCCTTCTTTGGCCACCCTACTTAAAATCTACCTTTCGTGGACCCAGTAGTACACACTTGTAGTCCTACCTACTCAAGAGGATGAGGTGGGAGGGTCATGAATTCAGGTCCCCTCTGTTTAAATGAAATTAGCCGTGGCTCTAATCTCAGTTCTCCTCTCATACCTTTCCCTTCTGTGACACTTACCTCCTCTGAGGAATGTGTGTGTGGTGAGAGGACACACAGGAGTCAGACAGTGACGATATCCCCATACACACGTGTGTAGGAACACTCCCCAGATGAGCTGCATGAGGCCAAAAGCAGGGCTTTCTTCCTGTGATTTATTAATTTCTCTATATTCAGCACCCTGAAGAGTACCTAACATATAATATACTCTCTTAGTACATATTTGTTGAATGAATAAAGAAACGCTATTTGTTGTAAATCAATTATTTCATATATAAAAATGATATTAAAGAAAAAACTATTAAAGAGAAGTAAGTATGATGTCTTGAAAATGAAGTCTAAAGTTAAAGGATTTTTGTTAGGTTTTGTTTTTCTTTTTTTTTGGTGGTGGTTGTGGTAGTGTTTTTTTGTTTTGTTTTGAGACAGAGTGTCACTCTGGGTAGAGTGCCATAGCATCATAACTCACATCAACCTCAAACTCTTGGGCTCAAGTAATCCTCTTGCCTCAGCCTTCCAGGTTGCTGGGACCTGCCACGATGCCCGGCTATTTTTGGAAATAGAGTTTTGCTCTTGCTTAGGCGAGTCTTGAACTCCTGAGCTCAAGCAACCCACCTGCCTCAGCCTCCCGCAGGATTACAAATGTGAGCCACTGCGCCCAGTCTCGAAAGGGTATTTTTAAAAGTAGTAAATAATAATACATTCAAAGAACAGTGCTTAAAAAACAGCATTGGTGAATCGGTGTTACCTGTAATTCTGTAATAATTGATAGTTTCTTTTCTCTCATGCTTGCTACTTTTTCATTTTTAAATAACAGAATTTTTACCTTAACCAACATAGTCGTTCTTCAGACTTGTACTATTCCTGTTTTTATCATCGGTATGTTTTGTAAGAATAGTAAATTCTAGAATGACATTTCTCAGCGTGGTAGGTATTCTTGGAGGCATACATACACACTTATTATGTAGTCAATTATATTGTTCTATACTTTTGAAGTATAGCTATTTTAAAAACCAACGTTTACACCGAACTTGTTTTTAACTTTTATTAAATAATGATTTTTTAAAGTTTATGATTTAACACAAATACTTTTAAAGTTCTGTAACTTATTACACAGTAGAATAAAATACTGCCTCTTCAAGCTTGTTTATTTTTAATATGATATAGTACATAAAGTTATTACTAGAAAGGCTAGAAATACAGTCTGAGCACCTTAAAAAATTTAACTGAATATGTAACATAAGCTGTTGGTGGTACAAATTTGGGCCTTCAGCTAGAGAGTGATTTTAGAGCAGTCAGCATTTAGGGCAATGTGTATCAACCTTTTTCATCTCCCAGCACACTCGAACCTATAGTTAAACTTCCACGATATACTTTAATTATGTTGATCAAAACATGGGTAAAAATTCACTGTGCTTTGAAGTACCTTCTGAAAATAATTTAATTAATGGTTTGTAAAAGTTTTGTGGCACACCTAATGTCCAAATCATTGACTTAGGAGGCAGGTGAAGCCAAGAGAATAATATAAATCACCCAGATACATTGTGAATATGGTTATTTTGTGAGTATTTCAACGTCTCAGTACTTAAAAGAAGAGTCAAAGACAGAGAATGTACCAGGGGCAATGACTCTCACAAGAGAAGAGAATTTCGAGAGAGTATTGTGCTTAATAGTATCAAATATTACAGAGAGAGTAGGATAGGGCTTAAAATAAACTAGTAGATCTGGCAATTAGTCGATGATAATGGGAACAGCTTCAGTGACAGGGATAGAGCTGTTATAACTGGAGGTCAGAAAGGTTTGCATAAGCACGTTTATTTTCTCCTAAAAATGGACAGAGAATGGCCACTTTGAGCTAGGAAGTAGTTAAAATGAGGGGTTTGGGGTTTGGTTGTTGCTGTTTTTTTGTTTTTGTTTTTTGTTTGTTTATTTTTAGAATCGTGGAAAGATTTTAATACATTTGTGTTGAAAAGCAAAGATGTCAGTGGAGGAGGAAAGATAGAAGTTACAGGAAAGAAAAAGAACAGACGAAGCAAATTCCTGGGGGAGGCAGGTCCTAGGCTCTGTAGTGCCTGGAAGAGGCTGAGAGACCGTAAATGTTTCTTGAGCTTGAACTGTAGCTAAACTGGGAGGCAGGAAAGTGGGAAGCCACAGACATTCTCAGTTGCTGGCTTCCGTTTTCTGGGCAGACAAGGAGTAAGAGGGTCTTAGTTCATTTGTTGAGTACTGGCTCAGCACAGAACATGGTGCTTGGGACTCGGGGTGCAGCAGTAAAAGGACAGACATGGTCCAGACGGACACAATTACTAAGTGCCTGGTGGCATGGGAACATCATGCAGGGGCCTAACTGTTGTGCCCAGGAGTTCCACAAAGACCATACTGCCCAACAAGTTAAATTTAATTGAAGAGCCGGCTGATGACTGCCTCTGTGTCCCAACATGGGGCTTCTGAAAGCAGCCCAAGTGCTTAAGCCACAGTGGTTCTCAATCTTCCTAATGCCACAGCCTTTTAATACAGTTCCTGTGGGTCGCAACCCACAGGTTGAGAACCGCTGGCCTAAGGGATTGGGTTTTTAAGGCTTGGTCTGCATCCTGGTTGGCAGCTAGGCTGTCCAGGTGTACCCCGGTGGGGTGGCAAGCAAGCATTGTACCGAAGCAGAATTTTGTGGTTAGTTAGACATACATCTTTGTTTTAATATTTTCTCCTATACATCTTAGTTTCAGTACTTTCCCCACCTGATATTGTTTGAAAGTCAGTCTGGGAACAGTTGGTACCTCCCAGTCTGTTTCCCAGGGAGTTAGCCAAGCAAGAAACTTGGAGTGAACTAGAAGCAAGAAATCAGTACTTTCCCATCTCTCTTGGGAGTAAACTAATCCTACTTCATTTTTTTTTGAAAGCTTGCAGTCCAGAAATTTGCCAGGAGTTAACTGGTATTTTTCCATGATAGCCTAGGCCTGATACTTTTATGTCTTAGCCTAGCCCAGTAGGCCTAACATAACTAGTGTGATTAGGAGGCAGGTTCTTATATAGCAGTTCCTAACCTTTCTGGCACCAGGGACCAGTTTCATGGAAGACAGTGTTTCTGTGGACTGTTTATGGCGGGGGGAGGGGGGTTGATAGGAGCCTCCAAGCAATAGATTTGTCATGGTCTGTCGTGGTCTTTATGCAGGCAGACCTCTCTGCTGATTATGATTTACATTTTGCAGCCACTCTCCAGCACTGGTGTCACCACCTCAGATCATCAGGCCCTCAGTTCCCATAAGGAGCCACACACAACCCAGGTCCCTGCCACTTGCAGTTTACAGCACGGTTTGTGCTCCTGTGAGAATCCTCTAATGCCCCTGCCCATCCAACAGGAGGTGGAGCTCAGGCGGGGATGCGAGTGTTGGGGAGCGGCTGTAAATAGAGGCGAAGCTCTCCTGGCTCGTCCACAGCTAAACTGATGCTGTGTGGCCCTGTTCCTCACAGGCCACACCCCGCACCATCCCCAGCCTGAGATGGGGACTACAGTCCTTAAGGAAATGGTGCAGTCTAAGACCTGAAAGGTTTGGAATCATCCGGACAGACACTGAGGGTGTGAGTGAGGAAGTAGAAAGTGATCTGTCACAGCCTGTGCCGAGGCCTGGACACGGAGGAGCTTGGAAGGTTCTGAGGAAATCAGAAAGGGACTCTTCAGAACAGCTGGAGCACAGGGTGCGCGAGTCAGACTGGCGAGTGTACATCGGCTGTGCAGAGTCTGATTTAGGCAAATCTTAAAAGATGTTAAAAGCCACTTTGGCAACAGGAAACGAATGAACAGTTTTGCTGAAGCAGTGTGGAAGCAATGCCTATTAAAACACAAGGACTGAGACGGGAGGGCGGGCTTCTCCAGACACTTAACTTGTGGCAATGGAGAGAATTTGTTATGTTAAGAATGTTTGAGAGAGTACCATGGGGGGAAAACTTGGTGATTGATTGCAGGTTAGAATAAAGGATTTTTTTTAAGAGGGTAAAGAATTGCTCCTAGAGGTACAGCTTTTGGTCAGCCAGGTAGGTAGTGATACCATATTTTGAAATGGGAATTACAGAAAACACGTGTTTGGGTGGTAGAAGGATAGATCCTGGTTTGGAACTGTGAAATATGAGGACTTTGTGAAACAGCGAGGTGGCGTTTAGGTTTATGAGGATGAAACTTAAGCCAAGGGACTGGATCTATTTAATGGATGTAGAAGTCGTCAGTATACAGCAGTGGTTCTCAACCTTCCTAATGCCGCAGTGTATTTTCATTGTTAAAAAGGGGTCATGACCCACAGGTTGAGAACCACTGGTATACAGGCATCATTGTAAGCCAATCCACTTACTCTTTCCTCAATTAGTAGAGATTCATATATACATATAATCCCATGCAAATTAATATTTTGTAGTTATTTTGTTTCTCTTCCCCTTTTGCTTTTATTTTTTAAAACAGTTCTGGATTATTTCCTCTTCTTGCAAATGCTGCCATGTCTGTGAAACCAACCCTGCTCAGTCTGTATGAGATGTATTACCTGCCCCTGGGTAAAACCCTAAAGCCTGGTCTGCAGGGGCTGCTAACTGGTATTCTTCCTGGCTTAGAAGAAGGATCAGAGTACTACGAGAGGTAAGATAGCCTTTGGTGCAGCGTTGGACTCAAAGTCAAGGATTTGACAGCAAGCATCCTCAGAGAAAATATGTCTTAGCACCATAAAAATGAATTATTCTAGATATACCAATATATCAGCTGAAGAAGTCTATAGTAATAAAAAAATTAATATATTGTATCTAGTCTGTGGTTAAGAATGTAGACCTCAGAGATGGGTCAGTGGGGTTCCAGGCCTGTCTCTGCACACACTGTGAGCGTCAGGAAGTTCTTCTGTCATTTGTGAACTCTATTCATTGTGCTTACCTATAAATCAAGCATAATACCTATCTCACTCTGCTATCGTAATAATGAGGATCCCTTAGTCCAGTGCCTAGCACATGTTCGTCACTCCAGATATTGGCCCATAATTTAAAATAATACAACAGAAAGGAAATTTAGAATAATAAAAACAATGGAAAATTGGTCCATGTGTCAGCAACTTTTAAATTGCTAACAGGGGAAAATAGCCAAGTCCTGAGTATGGTGCTCTTGATGTTTTAACTTTTCAAAGAAAATTATTTGGTCTGTTTTGGAGCCTACTGTTATTTCTTTGGGAGTTAATAGTTATGGATATATTGGTATTAAGTGTCTTTTATATCTCGTTACTAGTTAATAGTCTTACCAAAAAAGACATTGTAAGTTGAGGTGGCAGAAATACAAAATGGTGCCCTTGATGAGCAGCCTGGAGGACTTGGATTTGTTTTACTCAAGCGCACTGACTAGTTAGTCTGTTTTTCAGCTGTTCCTATAATGCTGTGAGAATCTAATCTTGAATATATTTGATTACCCTTCTGAGCTACTTTGGGAAAAATTAATTTTTCCCGGAAAGCTTATCATTTATTTTTACTTGTTTATGTACAATTTCAGAAATATATATGAAATATATGAATTTAGGTTAGGTGTGGTGGCTTACAACTGTAATCTCAGCACTTGGGAGGCCAAAGCAGGTGGATCACCTGAGCTCACAGGTTCGAGACCAGCCTGAGCCAGAGCAAGACCCCCATCTCTAAAAATAGCCGGACACTGTGGCAGGCACCTGTAGCCCCAGCTCCTCAAGAGGCTGAGGCAAGAGAATCGCTAGAGCCCGAATGTGAGATTGCTGTGAGCTGTGACACCACAGCACTCTACTAGGTGTGACTAAATGAGACTCTCTCTCAAAAAAAAGAAATGTATGAATTATTTCGTTACTCATAAATCAGTTTTAAGTTGCTATGTTAATTTTATTAAGAGAAACATGGGATCAAGACCACCTATAGTTCAACTAGTTAAAATTGAGAATATAACATAGAAGTTGAATTATGATTTTTATGACTGGTATCCCCATGATTTGTGTTTTTCTAGTTCCTCATAAATTCCATAAAATGATTTGTAAGTGTGTTATTCTTTTAATGCATATATAAGTTAAAGCCAGAAGAGATCACAACCTTGTTGTTAAATCATGTGATAAATAGCAGAACTCATCAAATTCTCTTCACTCCACCTCCACTGTGTTATTGTGTAATAGACTTTTATGAATTTACTGTATGGTAAACATTAAAAAAATTAAATATATTTCTTGTCAAAGCAGTAATGTATCCTTGATTTTATCATAGATCTAATTTATTAAAGTGAATTATATAGTGTGTGATTTCAAAAAGAAAACATTTGGAAATGTCTAAGATTTTGTAGAAAATCAACAGAAGATGTGTAGGACTACTATTAAATAAAACGTAGATAGTGTTTTCCTGCTTGGACCAGTTGACAGCCCAGGGAGGTGGGTGGGTCTCCCGGTGGCGGTGGCGGTGGCGGTGGCGTCTCCTCGTGCAGAGGAGGGGACTCAGCGGAAAAAGACTCAATGGCTTCTCTGCACACGGCTGGTAACGGAGAAGCCGGGACTCACCGGGATTCTCCCCTAAAGTGTATCCTTCCTCCACCTGTCACGCTTGCTTCTAGGGTGCAGGAAGCTTTCATACATTTCTGGAAAAGAATAAAATAATCATTTATTTTTTAAAATGTGAACCTAAATATTTCCCTTCTGAAACCCCTTTGCCTTGTGCCTCAGAACAAACACCTTGTTGGAAAAGGTGGCCGCCGCAGTGGACCAGTCGGCGTTCTACAGCGCCCTGTGGGGCAGCCTCCTCACCAGCCCCGCCGTGCGCTTGCCTGGGATCACCTACGTCCTTGCACATTTGAACAGGAAGCTTTCTATGGAAGACCAGCTGTATATAATTGGGAGTGATATTGAGCTAATGGTAAGTCCAAAAATACGGTTGCTGGTTTCACAGACTTCTCCTTAGAGGCAGACACTAGTCCTGACTGTGCATGAACACATTCCTGTTTTCATACAGCTTATGTTTTTCATTAAGGAAAATCAAAGGCCTGAATAATAGTTATTGTTTTAAAAGCTTAATTCTTTACATGAAAAAGAATGTTATTTGTATCTGTCATTTCTTAAATTCATTATCTGTTATTCATGCAAACAAATGATCTCTATTACTGCCATGGTGCTGATGGCTCAGATCAGCACCACACCATGTGCGTTGTGTTATTTCACAGTGGGACTTCATGGTCACAGCTTTCCTTACCAGAAAGATGGATTTTAGGTAAAGTGGTAAAGCCAGGTTTGGGATTTGTGAGAGGATATGGTATTAAAACAGTGAAAAATAGTAGGGAAAAAATCATACTGATTGCTTTCTTTGGTATAATGCTTTGTTTTTAATTTCAAGATTATGGAGAGAAGGGAACCTTTTATCTCTATAGAGTACTATACTCTTAAAATGAACAATGTATTAAAAAAAACTCTTTAAGGATCATCAAAAAGTTAAAAGAGAACTTTTTGATTAATTATTTTCCAGTATTAGTATGACATTACTGATACTGGATTCTAGTCACATTTGTTAAAACATAATTTACATGCACTGAAATTAATCCTGTGGCATTGTGCGGTTGTATGAACTTTGACGAGCATTGCAGTGGGGTGTCCCCCTACGGTCAAGGCACAGGATGTGTGCATTGCCCCAAGTACTCTGTGCCCTTGTGGTCCCTCTCCTGCTGCCACCCCACACCCGCACAGACCCAGGTTCTTCCTGTCTGTGCAGTTCTGCTTTTTCGAGGCTGTTGGGAGCACACTCTGTGTGGCCTTTAAGTCTGGTTCCTGCACTTTGTGTAAGGTGTCTGAGCTCCGCCCACGCTCTGAGGAGCGTCAGTAGCTTGTTCCTTTATACTGCTATGTGGGACTTTATTGTAGGAATGTGCCACTGTTCATTCATTCACCGGCTAGTGGACATTTGTTTCCCACTTATGGTAATTGTAAATAAAGCTACCATAATCGTTTGCCCGCAGATGTTTGTGTAGACATATATTCTTATTTCTTGGGGATATACTAGCAATGGGATTGCTGGGTCACATGGTAAATGTATGTTAAACTTTTTTTAATAACACCTTTAATGATATATAATTCACATACTATAAAAATTGCCCTTTGTATGATATAGTGGTTTTTAGTATATTTACAAAATTGTACAATTATCACTGCTAAGAATTCTGAAACATTTTCATCACCTTCCCCATAAAAAATCCTATACCTATTAATCACACCCATTTCCCCTCCCTCCTATCCCTGAGTTTCTGTGGATTTGCCTAGTCAGACCATTCCATATAAATGAAATCAGACAGTGTGTGGTCCCTGGTGAGTGGCTTCTTCCCCTGACCTTAGTATCTCCCAGTGCGCCCCTGGTGCGGCAGGCGTCAGTGCGGCTCTCCTGAGCGTGGATGTGCCGTGGTCTGTCTCCCAGTGCGCCCCTGGTGCGGCAGGTGTCAGGGCGGCTCTCCTTAGCATGGATGTGCCCTGGTCTGTCTCCCAGTGCGCCCCTGGTGCGGCAGGCGTCAGGGCGGCTCTCCTTAGCATGGATGTGCAGTGGTCTGTCTCCCAGTGCGCCCCTGGTGCGGCAGGTGTCAGGGCGGCTCCTGATCGTGGATGTGCTGTGGTCTGTCGGCTCTCCTTAGCGTGGTTGTGCCGTGGTTATCCATTCATCCGTGGATGGGTAATTGGGTTGCTTCTATTTCTGGGGTATTATAAATGGTGCTCTATTGAACATTTATATGCAAGTTTTGGTATGTGTATATATTTTCACTTATTTTGGGTTTGTAGCTAATAGTGGAATTTTAGGATTTTCTGACAATTCTGTGTTTAACTTTTTGAACAGCTGCCAAACTGTTTTCCAAAGTGGCTGCTCCAATTTTCATTCCCTCCAGCGCTCTATGAGGGTTTCCATTTCTGCATATCCTCCTCAACACTTGTTACTGCCTGTTTGTGTTACAGCCTCCTGCTGGGAGTGAAGGATTAGCTCCATGTGGTTCTGCTTTGCGTTTCCCTGACGACTGATGATGTTAAGCAACTCATGATCATTGGCCATTTGTCTGTTGTCTTTAGATAAATGTCTATTCAAATCCTTTGCTCATTTTAAAAATCAGATTACTTTTCTGTTGTTGAATTGTAGGAGTTCCTTGCATATTCTGCATGTTAAACTCCTGTCGTATCTATGACTTGAAAATATTTTCCTCCATTCTCTGCATTCACTTCTCATTTTCATGATAATGTCCTTTGAAGCAAAAATGTTTTAATTTTGATCAAGTTCATTTCATTTGTTATCATTTTCTTTTACTGCCTGTGCTTTTGATTTCGTATTTAAGAAACCATTATCTAATTCAAGGTCCCAGGGATTTACTTTACTTTCTTCTAAGGTATTTTAAGTATACAAAGAACTGCCAAACTCCTCTATTTTTACTCAGGTTTTAAAATATATTGTCATATTTCTTTTTAATAATTTAATGGAAATTTAAACTTTTTTTTAAATAATTAAAAAGACAGATTACACAGTTGGAAAAATATTTGTAACACATCACAAGCAAAGGACAACGCTTCCTGGCTTGGCACTCATAGCACAGTGGTTACGGTGCCAGCCACATACACCAAGGGTGGTGGGTTGGAATCCAGCCCAGGCCAGCTAAACAACTCCAACACAAAAATAGCCGGGCGTTGTGGTGGGCGCCTGTAGTTCCAGCTACTTGAGAAGCTGAGGCAAGAGAATCTCTTAAGCCCAAGAGTTTGAGGTTGCCGTGAGCTGTGATAATACAGCACTCAACCAACGGCGACATAGTGAGACTCTGTCTCAAAAAAAATAAAAAAGGACAATGCATGCTAATATTCAAAGAGATAAACCAATAAAATAAACTAATAAATATGAACAATCAAGTCAAATAGATTTAAACAAATAATTTAAAAGAAATAAGAGTAATTCTAACATGAAAAGATGCTCAACTTTATTTATAATAATAGAAATAAAATTTATACTATACCAAACCAATTTTCATGTGTTATATTTTTAATACGTGGGGAAAATTAAAAACGTTGGTTAGCATGGAGAGACAAATGGTCACACATAGCTGGTAGGAATATAAAGATGCAGCCTTAATGGAAGGCTCTGCCTTGTCTACATAGTAACTTGGCCTGCCTGCCCCACAGTCTGTCACTTCCACTCTGACGGATTCTCCTGCAGGTGTTTCTGCAGCGGTGTCTACAACCCTGAATGTTTAGGAAAGTATACATGTCCGTGATTACAAGCCTTTTAAATAAATGGGGATTTATTTGTGCAGTACTTCTTTGGCCATAAAAAGTGGTGAAGCTCTTTATGTATGTATAACCATAAGGAAAATTCTCCAAAATATATTGTTAAATGAAAAAAGGCCTGGCTTGGGATATATGAATGGATTCTGTTTACTTGTATCTGCAGAAAGTGTTTGCTGGTAATGCTGGTTACCTACAAAAGGGAATTTGGATATTTGGAAGACAGAAATGAAACAGAACCGTTTTTCAGTGTACCCTTTTGTACTATCTAATTTTTAAGGCCTCGTGATATATTATCTATTAAAAGTAATGTAAATACACTTAATTATTGATAAGATCCTCAGAAGCATATTTTTATTTGTTAGATAAGAAGAAGAGTTTCTATATTTTCACGGGAAAACTTTTGCAGACTCCTAGACCATGGATGTTAAAGATGCTCTCGTTGCAGGTGGAGGCAGTGAGCACTGCGGTGCAGGACTCAAGTGTCCTGGTGCAGAGGAGCACGCTGGACCTCATCCTGTTCTGCTTCCCCTTCCACATGAGTCAGGTAAAGCATCAGTGCCGATACTGCTGCCAGACGCTCCGGGAGCCGTAGAGCCATGATATGTAGTTATTTTTTAAAAGCGTGTATATTAGATTCTTTTGTTTCATAAATCAAAATGTAGAAAATAAATTCCGTTTTAAGAAATGGAATTCGATGTCAAAAGATTGAAGCAAAAAGGTTCACTGATTGAATAAGGACATGGTGATTGCATGGATTATTTTATACTTTTGTAAAACGTTCTAACCTGTAAAAACCAAGAGGTAAATACTGCTAACTACCTCTGAACATGCCGCGACTCTCACACCAGCCTTCCCCCAGCCACTGTCTGTCCTGCTGCCCCCTCACCTTGCTCGTGTCATTTGTGAGGAATGTCAGACCTTATCAGCACAGGACGTTATTTAAGAGCCATATATTTAATCATGTGACATTCTAAACTACTTTCATTATAAATAACAGCAACTAATTTGACAAATCATAGATGAGGCATTTCATTCCTGAAAATCATTCAGTATCCCCATTGTAAAAGAAGCGATCTATATTCCTTTGAGTCTAAACCTGGATGAAGACTGGTTCAGAGCCCCAGTGCATGAGCGTCCAGAGTGGTGGAGCTGCGTACCAGCCAAAATAATAAGGGAGAATCGAGAATACCCACCTTGGAGAGTGAGTTTACTGCTAAAAAGGCAGTATCAGAGAAGATTACGTGAAGTCTTTGTAAGAACTGCAAATGGCAGATAGTTAAAGTGCGTTTTCATTATGATTGGCCAATTTCTATTGATTATTCAGTTTTTTCTATGTTATGCTATTTATTTAAATTTTTATTTTATTCAACTTTAAGTTGAATTATTAATAACTAAAGGATTTTATGTTTCATTGCTTGTGTTGTCACCAGTTGGGACATAAAGCACCCCCTAGTTTCTGTTTTGAAACCTTCATCCTTAACCAGAAATCTTTATTCTGCCTTTTGGCTTTTCACAGAAGACCCTGGGGGGCCAGTCAGCTGAGCAGTGCTCTAGTATAGAGGTGGCTGAACAATACACAGGATAAGAAAGGGTTTTTAAAGGCTTATGAAGAGGGCAGGGCTGGGTGGCTCACAGGTTAAAGACCAGCCTGAGCCAGAGCGAGACCTCATCTCTAAATATAGCCGGGTGCTGTGGCAGGCACCTATAAGTCCCAGCTACTTGGGAGGCAGAAGCAAGAGAATCATTTGAGCCCAAGAGTTTGAGGTTGCTGTGAGCAGTGACGTCATGGCACTCTACCAAGTGTAAGAAAAATAAATAAAGGCTTATGAAGGAAAATAAAGAAGATCATGCCCAAAAAAATGTATGTGCTCCAGTGCCTAAATATATACTGTCTGGACTTGGGGTTTTTTTTGAGAGTCTCTCAGTCACTGAGGTGTTGAGTGCTACTGCATCATAGCTCACAGCAACCTCAAACTCCGGCTCCTGAGCTTAAGCAATAGCGAGACCCCATCTCTACTAAAAATAGAAAAAACTAGCTGGGTTGTGAGCTATGCTGATGCCAGGGCACTCCACCCAGAATGACAGAGTGAGACTGTCTCAAACAAACAAAAGCCCTAAGTGGAGAGTGGCTCTCCCTGTGAGAGGCCCTGAGGAGGAGGCTGTGGCCAGTGTCTCTGCTCCCCACCCTCCTCTTGCCTGGTCTTTCATGGCCAGCGTCTCTGCTCCCCACCCTTCTCTTGCCTGGTCTTTCATGGCCAGCATCTCTGCTCCCCACCCTCTTCTTGCCTGGTCTTTCATGGCCAGCGTCTCTGCTCCCCACCCCTCTCTTGCCTGGTCTTTCATGTGCAACTTTGGCAAGTACTGACTGGTTGTGACTTCAGAGACCGCATCACCTTCTCCAAAAGTATGCTTGCAATGATGCATTTTAGCAGTGAACAGTCTTTTATACATCTTTTATTTATTTTCTGGAAAGCTGATCCAAATCTCTAATAGTTACACATTTTATTTAGATTGTAATAGAATTTTTTTACATATTAGAAATCGGTAGTTATATCAATCACAAACTAAAAGTGACTTCTTATTATTTTTTTATTCCATTTATTGTTTTGGTTTTGTTTTTCCTAGACAAGAGTCTCTGCCCTCAGTACAGTGCTGTAGCATCACCACTCACGGCAACTTCAGACTCTCTCTGTGGCTCAGGCTGGTCTCGAACCTGTGAGCTAGCCAATCCACCTGCCTCAGCCTCCCAAGTGCTGGGATTACAGGTGTGAGCCACCAAGCCCAGCTATTTTATCTTTTAATTGATAAAATTTGTATATATTTATCATGTACAAAACAATATTTTAAAATTCGTATACATCGTGGCTAAAATGAGCTAACGTTCTTTACTTCACATACCTGTTTTTTACAACGAGAGCGTTAATCTACTCCCAGCAGTGAGAATACATCGTTACTGACTGCAGTTACCATATTGTACAGTAGATCATTCAAATTTATTCTTCCCTTTTAACTACAACTTTGTATCCTTTGATCAACATATCCCACTTCTTTCTTAAGAGGTTTTCTACCAAAGATGAAATATTTGTACTTTTGAAGGTTTTGTGATAATATCTTTAATCTACATATCTGATATTGAATAGCTAGGTCAGCAGTTCTCAAATGCTTAGATTGCAGGACCCTATTACATTCTTTAAAAATATTGAGGTTCTGGGCAGCACCTGTGGCTCAAAGGAGTGGGGTGCCGGCCCCATATGCTGAAGGTGGTGGGTTCAAACCCAGCCCTGGCCAAAAACTGCAAAAAAAAAAAAAAATTGAGGTTTCTAAAAATGTTTGCTTATGTGGATTAGATGTTTATAGTGTATTATAAATTAAAACAAACAAATTTAAAAACATCATTTGACAACCCCAGAGTTTTCATGTTAGCATAAATAACATTTTATGCAAGTAACTATTTTCCAACACTTAAAAAAAAGTGAGAAGCATTGTTTTATATTTTATCCAGTCTCTTTATTGTCTGGCCTAAAAGCACATAGCTGCTTCTGTATTTAATCTATTGTGATTATTTGTTTGGTTAAAGCCTATGAAGAAAATCTGATTTTACACTGGTGTGTAGCTGAACAAGGGAAGAGTATGTCAATACCATTTTCTGTTAAAATGGCATATTCTTCGGATGGTGCTTGTGGCTCAGTGGGTAGGGAGCTAGCCCCATATACCAACGGTGGTGGGTTCAATCCCGGCCCCAGCCAAACTGCAACAAAAAAATAGCCAGGCATTGTGGTGGACACCGGTGGTCCCAGCTACTTGGGAGGCTGAGGCAAGAGAATCACCTAAGCCGAGGAGTTGGAGGTTGCTGTGAGCTGTGATGCCACAGCACTCTACTGAAGACAATAGAGTGAGACTCTGTCTCCAAAAAAAAGGAATATTCTTCTGTGATACTATTCCAGATTTTGTCAAGCCCTAGTTTTTAAAGATTAATTACAATATGGAATCTAAAACAATATCAAAGAAATTTCCATCTTCCACTTCATTGAAGCTCACTGGCTGTCTTGTCCTTGCAGCGGACCTTTCACACATATATGCTTCTGTGACATTGGGACCGGTCATTTAGGAAAGATCGGTTTATTGAATTATGCAGATTTTCCAAATGGTGACACATTTCATTAGGCAGTGATGAACAATCGCATTATTATAATCACTGCTGATCTAATCAGTGAAGAGTTTTAGGTATTAAGGAACATCTAAGCTCTGTACTGGGAAACTTTAAAGCCAATTCATTTCAAAAGAATCATTTTCAATAAATATACAAGTTTTCTGAAACTCAAAATTTTCCTTGGATACTCAAATTTTATTATTTGTAATAATGTCAGTTGCTTTTTTTGAAGTGATGGGCTTGTTTTGTTTGAGAAAATGATGCCAAATTTCCAAGCTGCAATAATCATAGTTGGAGTGAGTCATTCGTTCAAGTAAAAGTGGCATTCTGTGGCTCATAGCTCAGATAGTTGCACAAATGCTTTTCCTTGAGACAACCATCATACTTAAATATAAGTTAGACATGCTTTAATTGTACTTCACACTGAGTAAAACAAATTTTTGCTTTTTCATCAACATTATTAAGTGAAACTTGCTTTTCTTTTCCATTTTGTTTTTCATTTTTATGTAAGTACACAGCAGCAAAAAAAAAAATGCAGTGGTTATGAGTACGGTGGTCCCGCTGCACCACCTCCTCCCAGGCACAGGTGCCAGCAGTTTCACCGGCTGTAGATCAGCGTCAATATCAAAAGGGAGAAAAGGCAAACAGTCTGGGTGTTGTTATGAATATGCATCATCTTATTTGTTATGAATATGCTAGTTTTGTTTTATTTTTTGAATAGCTAGTTTTTACTCTGTGGATCTCCTAAGAGTCTAATTGATACCCAGGAATCTGGGGACCACACTTAGACATTTTCTAGATTAATAGAAGACAGCTCAGTTCTAGAGGTATGTCCATAATTTGTCAGCTGCTATTAATCTATGTTCTGTAACATCTTGGTAATTTTTCGCAAATTTTTTTATTTATTTATCTTGAGACAGAGTCCTAGTATGTCACCCTCGTTAGAGTGCTGTGGCATCACACTCACAGCAACCTCAAACTCTTGGGCTTAAGTGATTCTCTTGCCTCAGCCTCCCAAGTAGCTGGGACTACAGGGGTCTGCCACAACGCCCGGGTGTTTTCTTGTTGCAGTTGTCACTGTTGTTTAGGTGGCCCAGGCTGGGCTCAAACCTGCCAGCCTCAGTGCATGTGGCTGGCGCCATAACCACTGTGCTACAGGCACCTAGCCTTGCAGATTTTTTTAAAGCAAATGAGCTGGGTGCATCGTTTTTGCTTGTAACTCCATCAAGAAGCATAGCCTTCACTGGTCCATGATTAGGGAGAGGGAAGTTCTTCATCCTGCTGGGACACTAACCAGGCATTTGAATTTGACTAAGCCCTTAGGCTGTTTACTAGTCAACTTCCAGCCTAACTTCCAGGATTATATTATAAGGTGAATATCTAATGATACTCTTTTTTTTTTTTTCTTTTCTTTCCTTTTTTTTTTTGACACAGAATCTCACTCTATTACTCTGGGTAAAGTGCCATAGCATCATGATAGCTCACAGCAACCTCAGACTCTTGGGCTCAAGTGATCCTCTTGCCTAAATTTTTCTATTTTTAGTAGAGATGGGGTCTCACTCTTGCTCAGGCTGGTCTCAAACGCCTGAGCTCAGGCAGTCCATCCACCTAGGCCTCCCAGAGGGCTGAGGATTGCAGGCATGAGCCGTGGTGTCTGGCCTCTAGTGATATTCTAAAGATGCAAATTAATTGTCTTCCCTTTTCTTTTAAACTTTACCTCTTTTCACTGAATCTTTTTTAAACATCTAATTAGGACTAGTGGGAAAGAGGCAGGGAAAAAAAGGAATTATTTCTCTTTAAAATATCTGGAACAAAATGAAAAAATATTAAGATTTGTTAAAGTTGATACAAAGAGGTTTATTATATTATTTTCTATATTTTTTAATGTTGAAATATAAGATTAAAAAATTTTAAAAGAAGAAATGAAAGACTTGGAATTGATGAGGATAGTGGCCTTGTAAGGCGTTTACAGTCAGCTGACAGCACTGTAATGTGCAGGATTGACGGCATGTGATTTTCTTGTACCTATCCCATTGTCTTTGTTTTGTGTCAGATTTGTTTCGATTAGATGAGATAAAGAAACTTAAACTGTAAGTTAAAATAATTCAGTTATAATTTTAGCTGTGCGACTGAACGAGATCTCAGGTTACCTTTCTTCCTGTTCCCTAATCTGTAACATGCAGTTCCTGTGTTTGGAAGATCAAATGAGATAATACTGGAGGAAAGCCCCTTCTGTAGCCTAACGCTCTGAGCATATTGCAAGGCATTATTTTTTAAAGAAGAAAAAGGCAGGCTCAGCACCTGTAGCTCAGCGGCTGGGGCACCAGCCACATACCCTGAGGCTGGCAGATTTAAACCTGGCCTGGGCCTGCCAAGCAACAATGACAGCCACAACCAAAAAGAAAAAAATAGCCGGGTGTTGTGGTGGGCACCAGTAGTCCCAGCTACTTGGGAAGCTTAGGCAAGAGAATTGGTTAAGCCAAAGAGTTTGAGGTTGCTGTGAGCTATGGCGGCAGGACACTCTACCAAAGGTGACATAGTGATACTACTCTGTCTCAAAAAAAAAAAAGAAGAAGAAGAAGAAGGCAATGTGCTTTTGTACATAATTAAGTACATAAACATTTTTAACTCTTTCAGGCGACCCGCCCAGACATGATCAGGATCTTGTCCGCAGCCCTTCACGTAGTGTTGAGAAGAGACATGTCCCTAAACCGGAGACTTTACGCCTGGCTTCTCGGTAGGTCTGTGAAAGACGAAGAGAGATTTCCATGTGTGAATAATACCAAGTTGTATTAAATGAAAAAACTAAAAGTTTTTGTGTAAATGAACAATAAAAAGGTAGCTGTTAACTGTGTATTATATGAAGACATTTCAGAAGCTTCTTGGTTGAATCTATTTGAATCCACAAAGTCATGTTATCTTGGACAAGACTTTTTCCCCTTATAAATTGGGGTTATTACACTATAAGTTAGTAGACAAAGAAGGGTCTAAGAATCAAAGTAACAGCACACTGTCCCAAACTTAGAAGTCATCCGAGGAAGCAGGACTAATGTTCCCCACCTGCACCAGCCCTCTCTGAGGCAGCAGGAGAGCACTTGCCCACTGTGGCCTCCTATCCTTTCTGTGCGTGTGTGGCCTGTCTTCACAACTCCTTACTGCCTGCAGTGAGAGAATGCCCAAGCTATTAACTTACCTTGGATATTCTGAGTCTTCCGTTATTTTGCTGTTGGTAAGACTGAGACAACCAAACAACGGGGCAATTCTGAAGAATACTATGATACTGATGTATGAAATTGGTTTCCCTTTATTAAACTATCTAAAATGATCTTTCTTGCTGACATTGAATGGGCTACTAATTGGTAAGTGTTTAGTGCTGTTTTTTAGATATTTGCAGTTTTGGTATTTAGTGAACAGCAGTTTTGGGAATTCCATTTTAATTCACTTTGTGATTTGTTTCCATGGAGGTTTTGATAACAACGGGGCTATCACAGGACCCAGAAGCACAAGACACAGTAATCCGGAAGAACACGCCACTTACTATTTCACTACCTTTTCAAAAGAGTTATTGGTCCAGGTAATGAATACTTTCATTATTCTTTGGTTACTTACCACCAGAATTACAGAAAAAGTATGAAACAAGTCCTGCCTTACTGGAATTCAGAGCTACAGGAGTGGAAACAAGACTCACAAATTCTCAGTGTGACCCTTATAAGCAAATCTGAGTGAAATGGTGGATGGCCACAAGCTCAACCACATGCAAAGTTGGGGATGCTCTGTGTTTTTTCATGACCTTATTAAAATATAGGTGCAGCGAGATGGGTGTCCTGGGCTTCTCCAACTCCCATCAGGTTAAGGTAAAGGAAGTTTCCCTTTATTTGGATTTATATTAAACACTCACACTATTCAAACCACACACAAAATAGTGTGTGTATATAGTTTCAGCTTCTTACCTATCTGCCCTATAAAAGTTGGAACTGTTCTGAAAGATTTTAAAACCCGTGTTATTTCCTAGGAAGCTCTGGGGAGATTTGTGAGTCAACTGTTTCTAAGTGTGGTGGAGCTGCTGTTGTAAAGTCAATGTTAAAATGTTCTATAGATTTATTTCATAATATTTTGACTTCAATTGCATGTCTTCAAGATACTGTAAAACAAAATATATGAACATACGTGGTATCTGAAACATTTTTAAATGAGTGAAGTTATGTGTATACAGTTAGTTTTGAGTCATTAATGGGAAAATAACTGCATACTAGCAGATGCTGCCATGATAACGTGGTGTGGTGTGGAGTCGGTGATCTTAGTAAGTAGAAGCCGTTCATCGTTAGGGCATAAAACCAACCCATGAATAAATTTTTCTCAATTTTCTTTGACTCTTCCACTGGCCTTCTAGTGAAAATTTAAGCACTTTCTCTTCTCTCAAGACAGAAAATACGTTTTTTATTGTTTTCTAGCAGAGGAAGAAGGCCAATCTTAGTCAAAGGGCTTCAGAAAAGCAATATGGGCTATAAATCTCCATTGTATACAGTTACATTGTAAAATATTTTTCTTAAGAAAAAAATCTCTCAATCTGTTTACGTAAGTGACTAATATACTGTTCTTTTTTAAAGGCAATGGTAGGAATCTTACAAGTGAATGGATTTGGAGAAGAGAGTACTCTAATGCAAGATCTAAAACCCTTTCGTATTTTAATCAGCTTACTGGACAAACCTGAGCTAGGTAATACATACTGTCTGAAGGTGTAAAGTCACATGTAATTATTTTGTATTGTTTTGTAATAAAAAATAAGAGTCATTAGGAAAATTATTATATTTTGATGTGGCCTTTAAATATAAATTCTAAGCAATTTCTTACCAAGAAGTTTACTCTTGAAAGTCAGGAAGATACAAATACTGATCCAGCTGGTCTGTTACCCTGTGCTGTGTCTGCAGCAGAAGGTCATTTAAAGGTGCTTTCTAAGCTGCTTTTAATCCTGATCGTTACTGAAATTGAAATGTTTGTGATCTGTCATGGCTAATTTATAGTTCACAGAATTCAAAGACTTGAGCAAAAATATTTGGGTTATGTCCCTTAACTTTCTTCCCCACATTGCCTTTATTCTGTTTGTTTTCCCTTTCTTCATTGTATACTTGTTACATGTTAGATCTGTTGGGAAGTTAATTGTGGCACATGAGACAGAAATTAAGAAAAAAGTCATAAATATTGGCAACAATGACATGAAATCATGACGTATATAATTTCTTCCAATTATCTGCAGATGTTTAGCAAATATGCATGTCAGGCATGGTAGCTCAGGACTATAATCCTAGCACTTTGGGAGGCCGAGGCAGGAGTCTCTTGAAGCCGAGAATTCAAGACTAGCCTGGGCAACATAGCAAGATTCCATGTTTAAAATTATATATAAAATATTAGCTGGGCATCAAGGCATGCACCTATAATCTCACTTATTTGAGAGGTTGCGGCAGGAGGATTGCTTGAGTCTATGAGTTTGAGGCTGCAGTGAGCTAAGATCACATCACTGCACTCCAGTCTGGGCATCAGAGCAAAACACTGTGTCAAAAAAAAAAAAAAAAAACAACTCAGATATACATGTCTTCTTATCATTTCTTAAAAATGAAAAGTTTTAAATATAAAAACAACTTGCGTTATATCAATCACATTGAAGGGCTTTTTTTAGCTATTATACAATGATAGATAATGCTCATGAATCTTTTTATTAAGGAAATTGTCATCTGTAATAGCAAAAACATTTCGCCTTATGCATTTTAGTATTACATAAATTTTAGAATCATATAAATTAAATAACAATAGTAGTAATACAAGTAGCATTTATTGAATACTCATTATATTCTACAGACTATCCTACCCACCTTACAAGTATTTTTCCTAACTATTTTAAAAGAGTCCTGTAAGTTTGGTATTATCTTCATTCTCTGAGGAAACTAAAGGTCAATGAAGTTAAGTAACTAGTCCAAAGTAACAACTTTAAACTGGCAAAACCAATTTCCCTGATTCCATAATTTCTAATGTTAACCTATACCTTAAATAAACATTTTTTCCAGTTGTTTACCGTTTTATTTTATTTTATTTTTATTTACCATTTTACATTAACATTTCAAAATGTGAGCTTTAGCTTCCAAAAAATGTTTTTTAAAAATACTTTGTTTTAGAACATCCTTACTTGGATCAGTTTCCAAATGATTATGATTTTCCAGTGCTAATTAAGTACTGTCTTTTATTTGTATATTTTAGGGCCTGTGATTCTGGAAGATGTCCTGATTGAGGTGTTTAGAACATTATATTCTCAATGCAAAGCAGAACTGGATCTTCAAATGGACCGCCCCTTCAGTAAGGATCACGCTCAGTTAAGCAGGTAGATTATCGAAAAATTAAACATGACAAGAAGAGGTTCTCATTTGTTAATACACGTTCATAAAGTGAGCATTGCTCTGTGCATGCACTCAGGGTAGGTGTTAGTTATAACTAAGTAGGGAATCGTGCAGTCTCAGTGTATTTTCACAATATAAAGTGTCCAAATTAGCTGCCCTGATCTTCCAAACAGGCTCTTACCAGCGTGATGGCAGAACACCACGTTCAAGGCTTAGTTCTTAATGTCACCAGTCTAGAACATTACACTTAGTGCAAAGACACAGGCAGCAGGGAATTTATTTACACTTATCAGACTCACAGGAGACCAACTGCCATGCATTGCTAATGGGAGTTGCCCCAAACAAGGCCATCTTGCTTGGGACACACCATTATTTGTTGGCAGGGGGTGGTGCCCCTTGGGGATGTGACAGACTCAGGAGGCCAAATCATAGTCCAGAGAAGGACAAGCATGGAGTGGAGTGAGTGGACAGGACTGGGGTCTGTCTGTCTTTCGAGGTGTGGTAGTTTCTCTGTCAGGCATGTGTGTATGTGTTTCGGATGCTGGGACAGGCCAAGCGGTGTGACATGGTCACCCCTTGCTCTGCTCAGTGGTTCACACGTGCTGACAGAACTCCAGGTCTCCTCCTTGTTGGGCAGATGAGCGCTTCTCTAGGGTCCTCATTTATTATAATGTGACAAAGCGTCCAAGACTGTGATTTTTTTTACATCGTTTGCATTTCATTGATGTCTCCTTGGTGATGCTTTTGCCCTGGGTTATTTCCTAAAACATGCTTTTATCTATATACTAAAATATTTTAAGACATTTTTATTTCTGATGACATAATCCCCTTCTTTTCATTAAAGATGTTAATGTTAAGTAACCTGATACTCTTGTTTCTTTCTGTGCCCTGAAAATCTCGATTACCATAGAGTATTTAATTAGTCTTTTCTGCATGCTAGTTGTATTTATAATACCACCGTATAAAGACAGTTTTTTTAATTGCTAGGATGGGAGGAAAAAGTAGGCTAAAGGGCTGTCACTTCAAATAAGGAAGTGATTTTTACCTAATGGAATTTCAGTAATAATGACTTTATACAGCAGTGGTCTTTTTTGTTGTTTTTCAAGCTAGGAATAATTTGATGGAAATTGATCAAAATAAATTTAACCTTAAGAAAATCCTGAACAGCACAGGAAAGTAAACAAAATTCTTCAGAATCAAGGCTATAAAAATCAAATCACTACTCAGTTTGTACATGTCAAGAGAAACAGAATTTGATACCAAATTGATAGTCACAGACTCAAAATAATTCAGGAATCACTTCCTGTTCTTTTGTGTTTTTTATTCAGAAATTTTACAAAGCTAATTTCTGATCTTGATCATACATTTGAGTTATGAAAGCTCAAATTTGAAAAAAGAACTGCACACAAAGTAACAGCAGAGTAGCAGCAGGCAGAGGTGGTTGTCCCAGTCTCCAGCGGGCACACTCCGGCAGCGCTCTGCGAGTGTCTACTACCCTCATAGTATTGCACTTAGATTTACATTAGAAGAAGATAAATGCTAATACTTTTTAGTTTTTATTTTTCTTTTCTCTTTTTTAGTAAATTAAGGGAAAATAAGAAAACAGCAGAGCTGATTAAAACTGCCAACCTTCTCTTTAATTCCTTTGAGCCTTATTATATGTGGGATTACGTTGCACGCTGGTTTGAAGAATGTTGTAGGTATGTTCAATTTTTTCATTCATTTTAATTTAGTAACATCCAAAGCTAACCTTTTAATTGAATCTAATGAAAGCATGTTCTTTCATACGTTCGACTACCACTGACACCTGCTACTTATTTACTAGGCATAATCTCTTTCCACCTTGTTACCTTAGGACAGTGTTTTTCAAACTTTTTAATTGCACCACACACTTGAACCTATATAGTTAACCTTCTGCAGCACACTAAAATTATGTTCATTAAAAAGAAGAATAAAGGGCCCGGTGTGGTGGCTCATGCCTGTAATCCTAGCACTCTGGCAGGCTGAGGCAGGTGGATCACTGTGCTCAGGAGTTCAATACCAGCCAGAGCAAGAGCGAGACCCTGTCTCTAAAAAAACAAACAAACAAAAAAAAGTAAAAAAAAATAATATACTCAACTATCCTTTGAACTTCAAAAATAATTTAATTAATGGTCTATAAAAATTTTCATGGCACTCCTGATCCTCTTGCAGCACACGGGTTGACAGTCATTGCTTTAGGATATAAAATCATTGATCATATAATCTTAAAATTGGAAAGGAGTCTAGACATGAGTTATTCACATACTAACATAGATGAAAGGTTTTCCTTCTCCCGTTTATAGCAGCGTAGCTTTTCTTGTTTTAGAGAAGATAGGATATCTGTGGTTGCTACCTTAGCACACTTGCCCAGAAGGATTCCCACTTTGATTAACAAAAATTTCTGGTCACTCTTGTGTTGCTAAAGCCACTGGAACCGTCACGTGTTGTCTCTGGGATGAGTGATAAAAGCCCTTTACCACTATGGACAGAAGCCTAAAGAGTAGTCTGACAACCCTGGGATGCCAGTGAGCCTGATCAGAATGTGGAGGCTAAACCAGACCTCTCAGAACCAAATTAACCTCTCAGTCCTCAGGAACATAGAGTCAAAAAATAAACACGTGCAATCTTAGGATTAGAAGTATTTTAATTAAAAATTTAAACATTACTGCTATACATTAATCTTAGAAAGTTGTTTGCTTACTCATTCAGCAGCTGTTGAGCACCCTGCTGAAAAGCAGTGTGCTGTACACAGTCTCTGTCTCCCAAGACGAGACACGCACAAGATCATTCTCAGTATGAAGCACTTGAAGTTGATGGATGCCAAATAGAGAAATTGGATGTGAGGGTCCAGAGGAACCTGAGTGTCTTTTTGCTCCTGGTTCTGCCTTGGTTTCACCTTCTGCATTCACACATACACACACACACACGTTCACACATGTCCATGCATACACATGTGTACGTACACACACATTCTCACATGTACACACACGTGCACACATACATACTCCCCCACACTTCTCAGCCAACCTGCACACACATCAGTTTCCAAGCTGCCGAGCCCTCACTTATGCTGTTCTTTCTAAGAGCTTGTCTGGTCAGGTCCTGCACAGAGGTCACCACCCTCACTGACTCCCTCCCATTTCTCATCAGGATCAGCTCCTCCCACACAGTCACCTCTTTGCATCTGTTGTCGTGCACTTGACCCTCGTTGGTCAGGGACTGTATCATTCTCTTCCTTTGTGTCTTCAGAGTGTAGGGCAGTGTGTGGTCATGTAGAGTTAATGTGACTTAACATGAATGTTTGGTGGAGGAATGATCTCTACTGCTGGATCAGAAGAGGCTTCCTGGAGGAGGTAACATTTGATCTCTGATGTTGAAGACAGATGGATTCTGAATGTGGAAAAATCAGGTTGGGGAGGAGCAGTAGTTCAGGAGGACAAATGGGCCTTTCTTTAAAGGCTCTGAGGATAGAAATCAATTAATTTTAACTAGAGGTAACATCTGTAGTGGGAGCAGCGGGAAATATGAAAACGTGAGGTCTTTCCAGAACACTTGAGGTACAGAATGGGAGTTGGGGAGAGGCTGTAGGAATGTTGCTGAGAGTTTTTCAGACAGACATACCTGTTCCGTTTCCCTCAGGGAATGTCCCTGGAGGGAATGGATGGAATGTGCAGTCACAGGAACATCACTGTGCATCCTAGTGTTCATGGCCTCATTAGAGTTCATGTCGTGTGTGTTCTCGTGACTTGAGCTATACTTGATAAAATACTGTTGTCCTTTTAGGAGGACCCTGCATGCCAGACTCCAGACTGGGCCTGGGGACAGCAGCGAGCCATCTGAGTCACAGCTGGCCAGCTTCTGCTCACTGGTGGGCTTTGTGTTGGATATAGTTTCTCTGGTAAGACCACCTTGGGGGGGGGGAAAAAACAAGGAAATCTAATAATATAATTAAAATATTTTATGTTAGAGGCAGACCTCATATGTAAATAAATATCATCTTTAAAATTAAATTGATTTTTCCCTTTGGTAAAGCTTTTTTCATAAAATTTTCCAAGTATTTTATCCTCTATCATATATGTATATGTAAAATACATGGAATGTACTTCGTAATTGCATGTTATAAAATCTTAACTGCTTGGTGGTCTGGTGCTGTATTTATGATCATTAACGCTTCTCTCTGTTAAGTGAAGACTGTTGGAAATGTTTTCCCCTTCTGTTTTCTCTCCTCAATTCTTTGCTCTCTCATTTCGAAGCCTTCTAGAAGTATGAGGGTGCTGTGTCAGGTATGACATTCAGCCTGTTTTGTTTTTAACTGATTCCATTCACTATTGTTATACTCTAATTTTAGTAATATAGCAGATAAAATGGGTTATTTTGTAATATATGCTTTTAAGCACTTAAACTGAGAATTTGGGAATAGAAATTTTCTAAGTCATCAATAATAAAATGTCTATTCCATGTTAATGAAGAGCATGATACTTATAAAACATTAAAGATGAGTGAAAAGCATTGTCTTATTTGTGTAGACTAAAACATAAATGAAATACTTTGTGGTTGTACATGGTTTAAAATGTTTTCATTTCGCTTTATTTTCAGGAGACTTACATTGAAATCCAGACAGAACACTTGCCGCAGCTGCTGCTCAGGATGATCTCTGCCCTGACGAGCCACCTCCAGACCCTGCACCTGTCTGAGCTCACGGACTCGCTCAGACTCTGCTCCAAAATCCTCAGCAAGGTCCAGCCACCGCTGCTGTCTGCTGGCACGGGAGGCGCTCTGCACCTGCCAGGAGGGCAGAGCAGCACAGTGAAAGAGTGGGAAGACAGAAAGGTAAGGTCAGCTTCTATCTGTGGTGTCAGACCAGTTACGTTTCTTCAGAGCCAAGCAGTTTCTGTATAAAACCACTGTACCTGAGCATTGAGATCGCCGTGACTCCTCCTTAGATTGAAGTCCTGTGTCCATGGACCTCCTGTGGGCTTTGTGGTTTAACTGCTATGTCAGTACTTTCCCACACAAGTGTAACGTGAATAATATGGGTGATGTTACATTTTCTGGTAGCCACATTAAAAAAAGATAAAAATAAACAGGTGAAATTAATTTTAACTTATTTAACCTGATAAAACCAGTATATTATTATTTCAGCATGTGATCTATATAAAATTGATGTCATATAAAAAAATTCATGAGCTAGTTTACATTCTGTGTTTGCACTTTCAAATTCTAATGTCTACTTTATTCATAATAGCATATCATTTCAATGCTAATTTTTATCATAAAATTTATACATGAAAAGTTAGAGTCATGGACACAAATTGTTCTAAACATACTTAAAAGTTTCCTAAGAAATAAATTAAGTATCTATTTTTAAATTTAAATTAAATTAAATTAAAAATTGAGGGTGATGCCTGTGGCTCTGTGAGTGGGGTGTCAGCCTCATGTACTGAGGGTGGTGAGTTCAAACACAGCCCCAGCCAAACTGCAACAACAAAAAATAAAAATAAACTTAGTAAAAAAAAATTTAGTTCCTCACATCAGACACATCACATTCAAGTACTTAGCATCCACATGTGGCTACTGGCGACTCTATTGGACAGGAGGTGTAGACTTTGCTGGTCATTCTCATATACACCAAATACTTGACATGCAGTTCTTAAAATCCAGAATCGTTTTACTCTCCTCAGTCATCCAAATGCCTAAGACTTTATAAAGTTGAACAGAATTAACCTTCTAGAATAATTTTTATGTCTGACACTAGTAATATACTTAAACATCTTCTAAACGTTAAAAAGTTTAAAAGTTAATAATTTAAACACTTTCAGGTTTATAATATTAAAAATATTTTAGCAAATATGACTGAGACAGTAAATTGAATTATATAATAATTAAATTGAACTTAAGAACAATGACACTATGATAAAATGAAGAATTAAAAATTTATACAATATCGTGTTTTTATATTACCCAAATCCTGGGGTTGTATAATTGCCCTTACTTTTTTTTAAGTTGTTTCTCCCCCCCAGATAGGCAAAATGTCAGTTTTAACCCTAAAGCCTCCCTCTTGTTCCACTACATGTATTGCTTGCCCTTCATGAATGAGAGGAACCAGCCGATCTGAGTCAGTTTCAGTGTGTCCCAGGAGTGCCCTGCACTGACTTCTCTAGTTTCTTATTTCCTACCAACCTGCTTTTTATTTGTGATATATATTATTTCTACTCTTATTGGAAAATTTATTTTATTGCATTTAAATTATGCTCTTAGGGTTTTCATTGAAATACAAATAAAACAGGTATTTACTGATATTGAACCTTAGGTTTCTGTTTGAATGAGACTCCTGGGAATGGAAAAGAAGGCGTTCACCTTCTTTCAGTGGTTCCTCTCCAGTGTGGAGACTGACTGTGTAAAACATACCTGGGGTCCCTTATTGATGTTACAGATAAGGTCAGTGGGACCAACCACTCATATCAACTAACAGACAAGTAATTAATGTACCTCTTAGGAGCTAATACAAGCAGTGGGGAGGGGAGCGCGGTAGTGGGACTGATGGGAGGTCACAGTGTATGGCACACCTCCTGGGGTCAGGACACAACTATAAGGGGGACTTTCACAAATGCAGTCAGTGTAACCTAATTCTTTGTACCCTCATTGAATCCTAAACAATAAACAAGAATTAATGTGCCTCTTTAGAATGTAATGTTCCACCAACTTTGGAGTCTGCATTTTTCCTTCTGTCTGTCTCATTATCTTGCACTGTTCAGGGCTGTATATACTTTTTCTTCTTCTTACTAAAGTGCAATGTTATCTTTATTGAGGCATTTGAAAATTGATCATATTTAAATGCTGAGAGGGTTTGCTACATTACATTTTTGGAAAGCATAAGTTGAGGAATAATTCTTTTTTTTTTTTTTGAGACAGAGTCTTATTTTGTCGCCCTCGGTAGAGTGCTGTGCCATCACAGCTCACAGCAACCTCCAGCTCTTGGGCTTGGGCGATTCTGTTCTCTGAGCCTCCCGAGTAGCCGGGACTATAGGAGCCTGCCGCGACACCGAGCTATTTTTTGTTGTAATTTGGTCAGGGCTGGGTTTAAACCCACCACCCTCACTATATGGGGCCTGCGCCCTACTCACTGAACCACAGGCACCGCCTGAGGAATAATTCTTTAAAACATTATAAGCCTGATTTAAATCTGTGCATCTGGTACATATAAATCATTATAGAATCGATATGTTGGACATCTGTCCTCAAAAGCCTCAACATAGTTTCTTTCTGCTTCTTAGACATCTTATTATAAAGTAATTTGAAATACTATCATATAAATAATCCACACAACTAAATATGTTAATGTATGCAAATTCAACTGAATTTATAGCTTGAATTCTATTAACGTAATATCTATTGTTATGATTCTTATTTGTAAAAGTATTAATGCAAAAATAAATGTACAGTAAAAACTCATAGTTTTATCATTTAAAGATTTAAGGTCTTTTTTTTAAAAACATGCATGCTTTTAGTTGGTTGCTAACCTTTTTGAAAGAAAACAATTGAAAAATAAGTTTAATTCTGATAACTACCTTTCAAATTTGGCATTATATAATGTGAAAAGTTGTGCTATTATAGATATAGTGATGAAAAGAATGAAGTCAAGAATGACCTCATCTGGACGGGGCCAAGGTGTTGAACTAGAAACAGTCCACACACACTGCATTCAAGGAGAGGATTGAAAGTTGCAGGTGGGATGGGCACCTGTAGCACAGTGGTTACAGTGCCAGCCACATATACCAAGGCTGGCGGGTTTGAACCCAGCCCAGGCCAGCTAAAAAACAATGACAACTGCAACAAAAAATAGCCAGGCATTGTGGCAGGCGCTTATAGTCCCAGCTACTTGGGAGGCTGAAGCAAGAGAATCGCTTGAGCCCAAGAGTTTGAGGTTGCTGTGAGCTGTAATGCCACAGCACTCTACCAAGGGCGATATAGTGAGACTGTGTCTAAAAAAGAAAAAAAAGTTGTAGGTGGATTCCCACCTATGAATAGGCCTTCTTGGAGAGAGCATTGTGAATCATCAAAGAAGTGACGGGGGACATTCTAAAGTGAAGGGGAAGGTGACAGGGTGATCCAGTCAGCATGATTGGAAGGTACCAGAGGGAAGGCTAAGAGGACAGAATGCCAGGGCACGGCCCCCATGGACATCCAGGCTTGAACTGTGAAGGGGCCCTCACTATACCAGAGACCACAGTGCTGCTGTGAGTGTGTGCAGGACCCTGCTCAGGGAGCAGGGAAAGAGGGCACCTGGGGCTCCTGTGTCCACATGGCTGTGACTGATGCCTTTTCGAGTTCTCAGGTCCAGAGAACCAGGTCTGCACAGGGCTCAGCTTTACGGTAGCTGTCTCAGTACTGCCCTGGCCACACAGGGGGAGCAGGCACCCCCTGACTGTGAGCTAAGCACCCCCCAACAGGGCATTTGAGTAGAACTGGTGCCAACCACATCATCTGAGAAGCCCTAGGTGACTGCCTCTGGGGGAGCTGGACAAAGAGAGAGACAGAGGCCCAGTGGCCCCACAGCCCTGTTCCAACAACTCCCACACTGCTCCTCAACCCTGGCCCTGCCCCCAGCCCCACCCTGATAGCACCTGAACTGCCCTTCAAACCTGTGGCTCCTATCTGCTGCCTCAGGTAAACCGCCCCATGGGCCTGTGCCTGACTCACCTCAAGCCACCATTGCACTGGGCCCAGTTAGGACAGACACCTGCAGCCTGACACCCACCACCACTAATTAGAGAACCTCATCCAGCTGCCACTGTCAACACCACCTATACACACAGGCACCGATCTCCCACAACCTGGGGAGCAACCCCAACTCTGCATAGAGGGTGTCCAGTGCTGGCTTGGATTTGGAAGTTGCTGGGGAGCAGGACAGCACAGAGCAGTTGTATTTCACCCTCTCTTCTTGAGGGCCAGTATTCTGCATTCCAAAGCAGGTGCCAAAGCACCAGCTAGGACCTCTCTTTCTCTAGTTCCCAGCAAAGGAGAACGACTACAGCAAACCTGTCTGCCCCAAGCTGGCAGAAGAGGTTTCAAAGGGGAAGAAACCAGCAGAAGAACCCTGGCAACATGAAAAACACTCCAAAGGGGTCACAATAGACCTATAGCAACAGCTCCAACCGGAAGGAAATTGCTGAGATGTCAGAAATGGAATTCAGTATCTGGATAGCAAATAAGAGGAGTGGGATTGAAGAGAAAGTTGAAAACAAATGCAAAGAAGCAAAAAAAGAATTTAGGATTCAGTGAGAAAATGAAGAGTCACTGATGAGAAAGGCAGTATAATGGAGCTTATAGAAATGAAAGAGTCATTTAGAGAATTTTAAAATATAGCAGAAAGCTTCATAACTGGCCAGACCACCCAGAAGAAGGACTCCCGGAGCTTGAAAACAAGGCTCTCAGACTAATCCACTCAGCGAAAGATGCAGAGAAAGGAAAAGGGGAAGAAACAGTCACTCAGGGAACATGGGACTGTGTGACATGAACCAGCGTGCACATTGTAAGGGTCTCCACTCAGGGAACATGGGACTGTGTGACATGAACCAGCG